TATATGGGTAAGTTTATGATACTATAATGTAGGTCATATTTACAACACCAATGGATAAAAGTATTAGAATGGTGGATATATTTAAGAAATTTTGTTTACAACATTTATGGGTATTTTAGTGTTAATTTTGTTAATATTACAAGAACAGTGGATATTACTATGCCCACTAATTTTGTAAATTTTTCATTAACTATGTAATTTTGTTTACTATTGTTGTAAATTTTTCATTAATTATGCAATTTTGTTTACTATTATTGTAAATTTTTCATTAATGTTATAATTTTACCCTCAATGTGCAACTACTTAATCGATCACAGACCCACTAACTATGTGATGGTACTTCAAATGGTGGTTAAAATTTGCTCACTCCTGTAGTAAATTGTCCATTAATGTTATAATTTTACCCATTATTTTTGTAAATTTTACACTGATGTTGTAATTTTGAACAACTTTTCACCCTTCACATAAGCGCGATAAAATTGAACTATACTCGAGTGATTATATGATCAAATTCATTCAATAATATTGTTGACTTTTTTGATTAATCGATCCAAATTTTTTTATAAATAATTAATTTAACAAATTGGAATTGTTTCTTTTTATTTCTATTGAAAGTTAATTATGCTTTGACACCCTACTAAAAATTTAACATGAACGGTAACTCATAAAATAAAAAATTTAAATATTTATGGTAATGCTAGTAATTAATTTGCCTCTTCTTGATTAATACTATAATAGAAAGTTTGAAAGATGAAAAGTTGGATGGATCAATAACATATCATGTTTGGTAAGTAATGATAGAAAAGTGGATAGATGAGTTTTTCTTCCAACTCGTCAAAATCAATCCCTCTAAAAATGGAAGGAAAATAGATGAAAAGTTAATTATTTGTGGTGAAATATATCTTATTTGTCTATATATCCTTTGATATATACATATATTATGTATACATTAATTCTATATATAAATACAATGATAAAATATATATTTATACTAAAAAAAATTTAAAAATAAATATTTGTAGTATTATCATAAATTTAAAAAATAAAAATAAATATTTTTTCCATCTTACTAAGCATAAAAAATTATTAATTATTTTAATTTTTTATCCATCCTACCAAACGCAAAGGAAGAAAAATCTATCATTCATATTTTTCTTTCTTGCATGATAGAAAGTGTATCACTCTTACTTTCTATGAGTTAAGATCATTCATTGCAGATTTAAAACTAAAAACATTCTTGAGAAAAACAATGAGTATTGTCTTAAAATTGATCTGCAGATCTTTTATAGGATTGAGGAACAGAGTTTAGTGTAAAAGTTAAGTTGATTATAGGAAGGTTGCTTCATTGTGATTTGAAAGTTACGAGTTCGAGTTGTTGAAACAGTCTCTCTGTTTACAGAGAAAAGACTGTGTATATCTAACCCTCTTCAGACCTTACAATGACAGTAATCTCGTGCACTGAGTACACCTTATGAGCTTTTAAAAACATACTTGAAAAGCTAAGAAAAAGAAGTAGAAGCTTATTCTAGAAGAACAATGCTAGATGAACTTAATAAATAGACTTTATAATTATTATAGTTGATTTTATTGTACAAAATTATTACTATTATAAAATTAAAGAGGATCAAATATATAGGTTTTTTTTATATATTAAAAAATTATTTTCACAATTTAAACACTAAATGCATAAATTACAAAATATAATATTATCGGTACCTCAACTTACCTCACCCTATAGGTATACCGTAGTGAAAGAGTCACACTCTCTTTAGTCCTCTGTCCTTTTCTTTTATTTTTGGTTTAACAGTCATTATGTTTAAATTAATTTATGTGTACTTCTATTAATTTATTTTTTAATTTAATTAAAGGCTGAATATTCACACCGGGACTAGAAAATTCATTTGATAAATTATTCATGACTTGACTCTGAAAAATTACCAAAATTAACCTTAACTGAGAAGCGAAGTCAAATATTTATGTGAGCTCCTCCATTTCTGCTAAAGATTCCATAATATGAACAAAGCATCTTCACTTGTCCACATGGAACATACTTGCCTTGTGACAATTTTTGTTCTTGCTTTCATTTTTGTAAAAGAAAACTCACTGAGGGCTCCACTTGGATTACTTAAATTCTGGGAAATGAATCTAACCTACGATAAATTAATGTCTCCCCTATACTTGCTTTGTCATCAACATTTCTTACATTCCTCATTAAATTAATCAGCTCAGAAGACCAAGCAGAGGAGCAATCCATCAGTAAGTTGTACAATTGCTTAAGCATTATTTGTTTTCTTATGCTCTACCTTTTGCAAATAACCGTCTAACTACGCAAAACATTTGAAAGGCAAATCATACTTTTAACACCTTCAATGATGGTCACAATCTCATTTTTGTCTCCTCAATTCCTCATATTTCATTCTCAATTACGTAAATTAGTTTCACATTGTTCCAACATGAAATATCTGTCATGTATTGATAGGAATACGCAAATGTTTTGTAATTTTCACATTTGCAATGTCTATGATTGGGGCAACATGAAACCAGTTATCGTTGTTGAGAGTGCAATAATGAGAAACGTGATATTGAGGTGGCACTTTAAAATCAGTACCTATAGTTTGAGGTCTAATAAGAAAAACATGATAGTTGAGTGTACAATAAAAGACCATGTGGCATGGGTGGAAGATCATGAAAAATCTTTTATGAGCTATTTTCTAGCTGTGGTGTTTTATGTTTGTACTGGGGATAATCTCAGGTCTGAAGGCACGGTGCAAGTGATAGATTTAGGGAAAGGGGAATTCAATGTGAATAATTTTGAGAGGGATGTTGGTAACCATTGGATAAATCTATTTGAGACTATTAAATGAGTTTGTTGAAACCTATCATATTTTATACATGTGGCATAACACAACTAGTAGCTAAGGGTAGGAAGTTTCGATACAAAATTAATACGACATTGGTGGTAAGGGTTGGCCATTACTTAACACAATCCTAAAATGATACACACAAAGTAAGTGGGTTTTTATTTTTATTTCCGTAATCTGGTATTATTAAATCCTTATAGAAGTAGAAGCTTTTTACTAAGTTTTACCAACACCGAGTGGAGTTTTAGGTTGTTGGAGAAGCGGCCTGGTATAGCGAGATGGTAAACCTATTCTTCTGTTTCTTGGTTAATGTCAGGTCACCTAAAAGAATTAATTAAATAGGTTTGTGTGAGTTCCTTGTGTATGTCTAGGGGAGGTAATTTCTCGTACGATATGACAACACAATTCTAAATTGATACGAATTTAGTGGGTTAATATTGATCATTTCTTGACACGAATCCGTAAATAACACGAACTATTAACACGAATAATAAATGGATCGAGTTAGTGTCAAACACGAAGAATACGAAATTTATACGATTAACACGTTTAACGAGTATTATAAGAATAAAATGTTAATTTTTATTAATATTTTATCAAGTAGTGACATTATTATTGTATTAAAAAAATATTTTTACTCATTTTTATTATTATATTTATTAAGTTAATTTTTAGTTTATAAAAAATATGAGTATATGTTCGATTAAGTGACAATTAAAATTTATACTTAAATCTGAGTGTAAATTTTTTTATTCACGGTTTATATTGGTCAATACTAACACGATATGAAAATAAATATGTCGACTCTCCTCGACACAATTAATTAAACGGGTTGAATTAGGATTAATTAATGTTTGACACAAAGTCGAAATAACACAAACAACACGACTACCACCCCCATGTATGTCTATTCTCTAAATTCGAGATAAAATACTCAATATGTCCAAAATCACAACAGTATGTGTGTGCGTGCGCGCGCTAAAGCTTGTGTGTTTTTCGGGGTTCAAACATCTAAGTCCATCGTTGTGTCTATTTACTGTATGCCCTAAAGAAGAAGAAAAAAAAACTTATTAGTTTCACCTTGTTTTTTTAGCTAACCTTATAGCGACAAAAACCTTCTTTTATCCGAGATTATTTGTAAACCTTTTCATAGATTTATATCCCATTTTTGTTTGTNAAATCCGTAAATAACACGAATAATAAATGGATCGAGTTAATGTCAAACACGAAGAATACGAAATTTATACGATTAACACGTTTAACGAGTATTATAAGAATAAAATGTTAATTTTTATTAATATTTTATCAAGTAGTGACATTATTATTGTATTAAAAAAATATTTTTACTCATTTTTATTATTATATTTATTAAGTTAATTTTTAGTTTATAAAAAATATGAGTATATGTTCGATTAAGTGACAATTAAAATTTATACTTAAATCTGAGTGTAAATTTTTTTATTCACGGTTTATATTGGTCAATACTAACACGATATGAAAATAAATATGTCGACTCTCCTCGACACAATTAATTAAACGGGTTGAATTAGGATTAATTAATGTTTGACACAAAGTCGAAATAACACAAACAACACGACTACCACCCCCATGTATGTCTATTCTCTAAATTCGAGATAAAATACTCAATATGTCCAAAATCACAACAGTATGTGTGTGCGTGCGCGCGCTAAAGCTTGTGTGTTTTTCGGGGTTCAAACATCTAAGTCCATCGTTGTGTCTATTTACTGTATGCCCTAACGAAGAAGAAAAAAAAACTTATTAGTTTCACCTTGTTTTTTTAGCTAACCTTATAGCGACAAAAACCTTCTTTTATCCGAGATTATTTGTAAACCTTTTCATAGATTTATATCCCATTTTTGTTTGTGGATCAGAGATATAATATCTTTTGACTAATCCTTGGTAATCTGTTTTCCATAGCATTTACTAATTTCAAAGGGAAAACAAATGAGCCCCCAGTTGTCTCTTGACATCAACAATGAGCTAGCCTCTTTGTCACCTACACCATTTGAGCCTTACATCTTCAGAGTGGATGGCCTGCTACGTAGGGAAAATGAGCTAGCCTATGAACCATAAATACTTGCAATCGGTCCTTATCATCACGGTAAAGCTAACTTGGAAATGACGGAAAAGCATAAACTAAGATACCTACAAAGGTATCTTGCGCGAACAAATGAATCAAGAGTGGATCGATTTGTCAATGCCATGCAAGATTTGGAAGAAAAGACACGGAAATGTTATGCAGAGTCCATTGGACTTGAGAAGGATGCGTTTGTGCGAATGATGCTACTTGATGGATTTTTTATCATTGAGTTTTTTTACAAGTTAGTATATGAAGAGGTTATAGACGACCCTATTTTCAAATTGCAAAGGTTCACGAATACAATNGAATCCGTAAATAACACGAACTATTAACACGAATAATAAATGGATCGAGTTAGTGTCAAACACGAAGAATACGAAATTTATACGATTAACACGTTTAACGAGTATTATAAGAATAAAATGTTAATTTTTATTAATATTTTATCAAGTAGTGACATTATTATTGTATTAAAAAAATATTTTTACTCATTTTTATTATTATATTTATTAAGTTAATTTTTAGTTTATNTGAGCGCTTACTTGGAAGTGATTTATTAGATATCAATGATCTCATTTCTCAGATAACCTTCTTCTTCTCCCATCTTTTTTCCCAAAGTTCAACGTATTCAGACGCATCCGATGTTCCAAGGGAGAATGTCAAACATCTACTAGGCCTTGTACATGATACTTGGTGTTCCTCATTTAAAACGACCGTCTCTTCCCGTCGGGCCGCTGAAGACCAAGAAAGAACATGGGAATACATAAAATGCAGCACACAGCTTCGAGAGGCTGGGGTTAAATTCAAAAAGGCCACAGAAACTTCCTCGTTGCTGGATATAGAGTTCGAAAATGGAATCATGAAAATTCTACCTTTGAGTGTTTATGATAGTACTGAGGTCATCTTTAGTTGAGTGTACAATAAAAGACCAAGTGGCATGGGTGGAAGATCATGAAAAATCTTTTATGAACTATTTTCTAGCTGTGGTGTTTTATGTTTGTACTAGGTATAATCTCATGTCTGAAGGCACGGTGCAAGTGATAGATTTAGGGGATGGGGAATTCAATATGAATGATTTTGAGAGAGATGTTAGTAGCCGTTAGATAAATCTATTTGAGACTATTAAATGAGTTTGTTGAAACATATCATATTTTATACATGTGGCATAACACAACTAGTAGCTAAGGGTAGGAAGTTTCGATACAAAATTAATACGACATTGGTGGTAAGGGTTGGCCATTACTTAACACAATCCTAAAATGATACACACAAAGTAAGTGGGTTTTTATTTTTATTTCCGTAATCTGGTATTATTAAATCCTTATAGAAGTAGAAGCTTTTTACTAAGTTTTACCAACACCGAGTGGATTTTTAGGTTGTTGGAGAAGCGGCCTGGTTTAGCGAGACGGTAAACCTATTCTTGGGTTTCTTGGTTAATGTCAGGTCACCTAACAGAATTAATTAAATAGGTTTTGGTATATATGTAGGCCACACAGAGACGGATTTTACTTCTGCAGGCCAAAGATGTCTCAAACAATTGATCACATCGCCTTAAGTATAGACCAAGAGCTTGCTTGCTTACCTCCTACACCATTGAATCCTTGCATTTTCAAAGTGTACCGCGAACTGCGCATTGAAAATGAGAAAGCTTATGAACCAAAACTAATTACGATTGGTCCTTTTCACCACGGCAAAGACAACTTACAAGAGATGGAAGAGCACAAAATGTGTTGCTTCATCGGAGAAATGAGAAGAGTGTGAATGAATACATTATGGCCCTAAGTGACATGGAAGAGAGGACGAGAACATATTATGCAGAATCTAGTGGCCTCAACAAAGCTGAGTTTGTGAAAATGGTGCTTCTTGATGGGATATTTGTCATTGAATTATTTCGCAAGTGGAATGCTCGATCGAGTTATACAAATGACCCTGTTGTTCAATCTTTTAGAATGCTAGGTGTCAAATGTTGTGATTTATTACTATTGGAAAATAAACTTCCATTTTTTATCCTTGTCCACTTGTTCAACATGATGAACGATTCAGACACACAAGAAGACATTAGTTATCTGGCATTGTCTTTGCTAGAAAATATATTGCCAGGGCCAGCAGTTTCACACGTTTTGAGTATACCAGAGGACGAAGTCAAGCATCTACTGCACCTAACACATGGCAGTATGTGCTCTTCATTTGCTAAAAAAGTCGAGTCCTATGGTGAGGTTACCAGATTCGAGGTTGACAAATTCGAGTTAATAAATACTATCACAGATCTCCAAGAGGCTGGAATTGCATTCAAGGTGGATGAGGGAAGTAACAATTTGTTTGATATTAAATTCAATAATGGGTTGATGGAAATTCCCCGATTGCTTATTGGTGATGACACTGAATACATCTTACGAAACTTAATTGCATATGAACAGTTTCTTCCTGATGAGACTCATCGAGATATGTCACCGATTATGCCCTACTTATGGAGTGCCTTGTCAACTCTCCAAAGGATGCCTCATTTCTTCGCTGCTGTAGAATTATCACCAATGCTTTAGGTGATGACATTGTGGTTTGTAACACGTTAAACAAGTTTGTCAACGGTGTCACGCTCTCGACAAACTTTAGTTACTTTCAAGTTTTCAACTACTTGAATAAGCATTGCAAGTCAGCTTATAGCAAATGGATGGCAAACTTAAGACATAATTATTTCAACAGCCCATAGGCACTCATTTCATTTCTGGCTGCTGTTGTGCTCCTCCTACTCACTGTGGCCCAAACGATATTTTCTGCTCTTTCCTATTTCTAAACGGATCCCACTTGTTCCCTCCCCACCCCCTGGGGGGAGAAATCATGTGTGCAGTTCTTATGTCAAATGATTTTGTTGTATCAAGTAATCAGTGAAATAATTAGTGAAACAGATCTTAAGCCACAATTTGAAGCTGACTACCAGTTCAATACTTGTGAAAGTAGTAAATAGTTGCTTTTAGAATTATTATTTTTACTATATTTCCTTTCATCTCTTCTTTTTTGTGACATTCATGTCTGGACATCTTAAAGCATCACAATACACAACCAATGCCCCAATAATTTAAATTTGTGTGAACGGCCCCAACGAGGAGACTCAATTTTAAGAACTCTAGCTTTTCGAACTGGGTTCCAAACCATTTTTTTGTACTTTGACACACGTTCAAGTTAACAAGCATGTGTGGAACCAATGCTGCACTATAGTGTACCACCAGAAAAAAATATATATATGAGATGACACGATCTAAATTTAAAAGTATAAAATGAAATAAAGCATAACTATTGAGCTGAATTTCTTTTTTTCTTTTGGGTAAGTACACTGGTATTGTACCAAGCTGAATTTGGGTTTACCATGAAAGCATTAAAGAAATTGGAGAGTATTCAAGAATTTCATGTATGGGGGATAAAGATATGAAAAATGCTATCTGAACATAATTTGGAGACTTGAGATTAAAAATGGGTTCTATCTACAATTGAAACTTACTATTAATCCAATTATTGCATTAAATTACGTCCCAAAAAATAAGTTCATGTAACATTGCTCTAAAAATATTGAGGTAAACATCAACATTAAATAATGTAACCAATTCCATGTACTATGCACTTTGCAGATTTACTCAGCTTTGCAATGGAAAACATAAAAGGGAGTTGACGGATATTTTTGTTTTTAAAGGATTATGTGGCTAGTGTGATTTTGCCCCAAATCTTGTTTGGGAATGAACAACTCTTGAACTCTGAGTCCTTTTACTCTGGGTGATGGCGGAGGTCATCTTGGAGCAGACTTCCTGAGAGTTCTTGGGAACTTATCATGCGGGTGTCCCCGGCTGGTCACCCCTTTTCTAAGGTGGCTACCACCTTGCGAGGTCCCAGTCCAAAGTTCATAATCCTTGGGCAGCTTAATAACATTGACATTGTCTTTCTCGATCTTCTGGAGCCAATCACCCAGCCTTTTTTCTATCAAGTCCACCAGCTCACGGGCAAGGACTCGGTTGGATGGCATAACGGATTCCATCTGATTGATCCAAAGACCTGGATATGACCAGGGTGACGAGCAGGTTGTTGGTATTCCTAACACAAAGGTTATCTTCCACATTGCCTTGAGACCGTGTTCGGACCATGGTGACAACTACAGGGAAAGGCTTGGTTTAAATACTTGCCAAAGATGGAGCCAAATTGCACAGGTGAATTCGTGCAATGGTTTGAGATAGTGGCACCAAGGCGAGGATTGTATGGATGTCCTGAAACAAAGAACAGATTCAGCAAGGGCGGAGGCTTGTCCAACTTATCCCCTCTAATGCCTAAGTTAGTAGGTGCTAAAAGGGTGGATAATGTTTTTTTTACCATGTTGGATTGGTTGTGAATGTGTACCTGAAACCCAATTCATTGGACTATTTATACCTTCAAAGATGATGACATGACATTTTAAGGGTCCCATCAAGCCGATTAGGAGAGCCCTCATAAGGGGTAATCATTCGTGAGCTACCCTTCCCTCGAGCCGCATAATTACTAGGCTTAGGAAAAGTCGACGGCTCCTCGGGACCTTGTTATGCAATAATTACTCCACTTAGGGCACAGAACACCTACTACACGTCCCTTCAGCATTTAATGACTGTTGCCAGATATTTTTTGAGTTGTGTCGAACACTCATTGCATTGACACTGAGCGTTAAGCATGGCACCCCTGAGAAGTCCATGTTAATAAGTGTCATGTTTTTATCCAGATTTTTCGATATTCAACATAAGAAATAACATGATGTGTTTATGAAAATAATCATTCTCTTTAACTCATTGCATCACTGGGGGCCCACACTTGTGTCTAGCATTGATTGATCAGGCCCGAGAAGAATCTTTTCCTTGAGTCTGCTAGGGCATATCCCCTATCAAAATCCCTTTTAGGGATCATGATCTGACACAACAATCATTTAGTGTTCTGTCATGACCCGTTCTAAATTTCATGTGATAGGACTTCTTGAATGATTGTGAAGAACTTGAACATGACACTTTTTTCTAGGTTTTTAGTTTGTATATTGACCTAAATATGATATACTTATTAAAATTATTGGGTTAATATAAGGTCATTTGAAAGTGATAATTGGGGGTGAATTTTGAAATCGGACAGAATAGCGATTATTCTGCAGGCTAGTTTCAACAGATAATTCACAGAGAAGAGCACAAGAGGATCGCCCAAAAAAGAACTGACAAAGCAGCCACAATCTTTATAAAATTAAAATAATGATAGTTAACCCTAAAACACATGAAAACATTCTTTAAATTCTAAACAGTAACGTACGACGGCTTAGTGTATCTGCAACACGATTCAGACTCCCTGCTTGGTGTCTCAATGCAAACGTGAACTCCTACAAGCACGCCACCCACTTGGCATGTTGTCTACTCAGCTTGTGTTGGCCATTGATGTACTTCAGGGCCTCATGATCAGTGATAAGAATGAACTCCCTCTGTATTAGGTAGTGACGCCAATGCTTTAGGGACTGAACAATCGCATAAAACTCCAGATCATAAGTGGAGTAATTCTTCTTTGATCCCGATAGCTTCTCACTAAAAAAAGCTATGGGGCACCCCTCCTAACTCAAAACACCACCGATGCCAACATCAGATGCATCACAATTTACCTTAAACACCTTTTCAAAATCAGGAAGTGCCAAGACTGGTGCCTCTGTCATCTTCTGCTTGACCAGTTGAAAATTGGCATTTGCCTCCTCAGACCACTGGAAATCACGTCCCTTCAGACACTCTGTAATAGGGGCAATTAGGGTGTTGAAGTTTCTAAAGAATCGGCGGTAGAAGGACGCCAATCCATGGAAACTTCTGACATCATCATGCAAGGTCTTTGGTTTGGGCCACTCCAAGACCACATCTATCTTTGACTGCTGCATGAACACCATTAGTAGATACAACAAAACCAAGAAAGGTTACAGAAGTAGTGAAGAAAGAACACTTCTTCTGATTGACAAACAGGTGCTTCGTCCTCAGCACATCAAAAACAGCACGGAGGTGCTCAAAGTGTGACTCCCACGTCAGGCTATAAATGAGTATATCGTCGAAGTAAACTACAACAAATTTCCCCATAAAAGGCCGTAAAACCTGATGCATAAATCTCATAAATGTACTGGGTGCATTGGACAGCCCAAAAGGCAGGACCATCCACTCATACAACCCATGTTGCCTTTTAAACGTTGTATTCCACTCATCTCTGGGCCTTATTCTGATCTGGTGGTATCCGCTTTCAAGGTCAATTTTTTAGAAAACCTTAGAACCAGATAGCTGATCTAACATATTATCTAGGCGGGGAATTGGAAACTTGTATTTCTCTGTAATCGTGTTGATTGCTCTGCTGTCAACGCACATACGCCAAAAGCCATCTTTCTTCGGCACCAGCAGGGCAGGGACTGCACATGGGCCCATACTTTCACGGATGTAGCCCCTCTCCAACAACTCTACCATTTGTCGCTGTAACTCTTCAGATTCCTTGGGACTGAGGCGATAGGCCGGTCGATTAGGCAAGCTCGACCCTGGAACAAGGTCAATTTGATGCTTAATATCCCTCATTGGCGGTAGCCCACGAGGAAGATCCTCTGGCATTAGGTCAGAAAACTCTACTAGCAGCTGCTACACCTCTGTTGGTAAATCTGGGTCCACGTCTGCTGTACTATTCCCACAAGGCATTAGAGCATAGACCACGTCTTCATGCTCAATCTCCAGTAAAAACCTGGACATAGAAAGGAGGTTAGTATTATTGGACACCGAGGTAGGAATGGTTCCTTCCTGACGAGGTGCCAACACAATCTTCTTCCCTTTGATGCTAAGGGAATATGTATTTTTCCGCCCATCATGAATAACACTACGATCGTACTGCCAAGGTCTGCCTAATAGTACATGACAAGCATCCATAGCCACAACATCACACCAAGCATTATCAAAATATTTCCTGTCGATCGAAAAAGACACTAAGCATCGCCTATCTACTGTTACCTCACTTCCTTTATTTAGCCATGACAATTTGTATGGCTTGGGATGACGTTCTGTTTTCAACTGCAATTTTTGGACAGTCTCTTGAGACACTACGTTCTCACAATTGCCACTATCAATGATCATTTTGCAAACTTTATCTGCAACTGTGCAGGTCGTGTGAAAAATATTGGTTCTCAACCAATCGGCCCCTGAATCGCCCTTGGGAGTCAATAGACTCTTGTGAACGACCAAAGTTTCATGGCCATCTCCATACAGCACATCTCCATCTTCATCATCGTCATACACAGGCTCTCCAACCTCCTCAGTTTTGTCTACCATGTCTTCCTCAATCAGGAGATTTTTGCCCTTCTGACTGGCAGGCTTCCTGCACTCAGTCGCTTTATGTCCCTATTCCCCACATCTGAAGCATCTAATATTTGGGTTAGAATTACCTTGTGGTTGCTGTTGGGTAGGATGGGATTCTTGAGGGCGAATTGGTCGACTGCTTTGATCGCTTCTAATCACTGGCCTCCTATTCTGCTGTTTTTCCACAACAATTGCACGTTGGTAGGCTTCAAAAACAGTCCACAGCGAGTAGAGACTTAGGACATCTTGTAGGGGTTGTCGTAATGCCCCCAAATATCGCGCCGCCATCTGCTCTTCCATCTCATATAAATCATTCCGGGCTATCAATTAATAAAACTCCTCCGTGTAATCATCAACCGATCTTGTGCCTTGCCTCAACGAATGAAGTCGCTGAAACAAGGTTTGAGTGTAGCCAAAAGGAAGGAAGTGTCCTTTCATCTTCTTCGTCATCTTCTCCCAATTAGTGATCTTGGTTTTGCCCTGCCTCTCTCGTGATCGTCTCAACTGTTCCCACCACGCAGATGCTCTGCCTTTGAGTTTGATAGTGACCAGTTTCACTTTGACATGATCTGGGACTTCCTTATAATAAAAAATTCTCTCTACTTCATTCAACCAATTGATGAATCCCTCGGCCTGTAACGTACCAGAAAACTCGACAGATCCACTCTGAAACTGGTCTTCACGAGGATCCTCCTGACCACGGTGCTCCCAGAATTGAGCACAATTGTGATACGGATTTTTAAAACTGGATTCGGTACCGTGATCTTCCATCTCCCGATCACCCAAATCCTACGCCGTTAGACGCCGGGTTAACTCTGCAACTTGCCTCTGCAAATCCTCAATCATTACATCCTGAACGCTACGATCACGATGCGGGACTTCCTCGTTTGGAACTTGCCCACGACGACCACGACCACAACCACCAGCCATTAAACTAATGAAATCTCACCCCAAGAAGATGTTGAAGCTCTGATACCAACTGAAGCCGGACAGAATAACGATTATTCTGCAGGCTAGTTTCAACAGATAATTCATAGAGAAGAACACAAGAGGATCACCCAAAAAAGAACTGACAAAGTAGCCATAATCTTTATAAAATTAGAATAATGATAGTTAATCCTAAAACACATGAAAATATCCTTTAAATACTAAACAATAAGCAGAAAATCCTAATTACGCAAGGAATAATTAAATTACAAAAAAATCCAAATAAACTTAAAACTGGGAAAAAACTTCAGAAGGCCCAAACACACGTTTCTAGGCCTTTTTTTGGCTTTAAACAGTGCCTCTCATTGCCATAGGATGTGAATCTTGTAGGGCTCGTCGAGAGCTTCGATTTGATATATTATAGGCCCCGAAATTCCAAACGGATTAAAAGTTATGATCAAAGCAGTGTCAACTCTTCTTAGACTTAGATTTCTGATTGTGCTGATCTGCTAACTCAGGGTATCTTAGTGTCATCAACGTATCATCTGATAACTTAGCATCATCTGACTCGGATCCTCTTGCATTAAATTTTTTTTAAGGAAATTTATAATGACTTAAAGGTTTTTTGCATTTTGAATCTTGAAAGATTTAAAATTTTTCACTTTACACCCTCAGAGAATATATTTTTTTATATTGCATCCTCAATATATTAAAAATTTTGCGATGTGACCCTTTTTTTTAGCTTCCGTTATTTTTTTCTGTTCAAAGCTAACTCATTGACACTGACAAAAAAACTAGCGGAAAACTAGTAAAAATGCTACATTGCAATATTTTTGATACATTGAGGGTATAATATAAAAAATTTAATCTTTCAAGGTGGGAAGTGGGAAACTTAAATCCATTAAATGCATTTGATGTTAAGTCCTACTATTATCTGTTTAATAAGTAATTAAATCCAAACTTTTTTTTAATATATACAAAAAAGCTCTTATTTTTACATTCAAATCAAATTTTAATGTGAAAGTTCAAAATTGAAAAATCAGTTACCCCTTGATTCACGCTCAATAGAGATTTGTCTGTAAGATTTTTTCCATAAAATTTGAAAATTTGAATTCAAGCTATTATCCATCTTCTTCTTGTCAATAGATCCAGATCCTCATTATCCATCTTCTCCACTGTTACATTGATGTTCCATCTGCACCAAGTTTTCCAAACCACGGCCGTGCACATCCACCACCATAACCGATGGACCATAAAGCAAGTGATGAAGTCTAACACATCGTCATAGGCAGATTCATACAAGAAGTTTGAAGGCAATAATAATCCCAAAAAAATCTCCAGCATATGAGTCATCAATATACCATCACCATAAGGCTCAGATGAAAGATCCGAATCTTCGGACGGCTTCGCTACTTCACCGCTAGGGTCCACTCTAGGATCTTCAAAACCCATTCCTATGAATTAACTACTTCTACAAGATCATAATTCTTTTTTCTCTGCTTGTTGTACATACCTCTGACACTAAATCCTATTTGATAAGCTTGTGCTATCAAGTTGTGAAGATCAAATTTAAGCAATATTCTTTGTTTTTTGTCAATGTGTTTGTTGTTTTGTAAATTGGGAGTGCATTTTGTGCCTTTCCATGAGAGTTGCTTGGATTAGTTTTCGAAAACCCACATATTTTTAAGGCTTTACATGATTTCAGGTTCATTCCTTAAAAAATTGTATCACTAATGGACTAGCTCAGTATAATGGACACTATTTAGGCTCTGTATTGAGCTAAGCTCGCCCAAAACCTTCTACTTTGGCTCCAAACTATTTGAGATGAGCTGATGTTGACTTTGGAATGTAATGAGCTTGACTCTACTTTTTCTCAAGAAAAACAATCATATAATACTCAATGTTACAACGTACCATACTGCTTTGTGTACCACTGGTGTGAAGGTCCAACTCCATCAAAAGGCTACCCAGTAGCTGAATCTACTACTCAGTAGCTCATGCCAGTAGCCACCCTATGGACAGCTTGCCGGTGGACTGGTTGGGCGGTGGACAGGTGAAGCTTTGACAAAGCTTGCCCAAGCTTTAAATTGTGTTCCGTTCTCCTTGACTTATTTGGCCAGAAAACCCCTATAAATAGGAACCTTAGTGAAGGCAAATGGCATAGTTCAAGTTCAGTGAGGAAGAAACAGAGAGAGAGATTCGGGAGAAATCTCAGTGAGAATTTTTGTAATGATTCTTGTATTTTATTTTCGGAGAGAAATAGAGATATCCTCTTTGTTTATATCTTATTTGTGGTATTTTTCTGGCCCTGGGTATCCAATAAGTGGTATCAGAGCTTTGGTTGGGTCGCCGGAATTTTTTTTCTAACTCACTGTTTTGGTTCGTACGGGTTCTAAATGAACTCAAAATCAAATTCTGATTGCACCGTTGGATTCCTCTCGTCGAAACGAGTCGAACCCCATTAGGCTTGCATCAATCCGACATTATACACGCTCTCACAGTCCTCGTCAAAAGTTCGCCGAAAAGTTAACCGGCCACTGGAGTTGTGGTCAGAGCTCGTTGGAGTTTCTGTCGGAAGTTCGCCGGACCGGTGACCAGAGGAAGGTTAAAGACAACGAAATATTCCATTCCGTTAAAGAATATTCTATCTCAGTTAAAGCATATTCCCAAAGCATATTCCATCCACAGAATATTCTTAGAGAATATTCCATCCAGGGAATATTATGTCACCGTCAACATATTCCGTCAAGTTTAACGGAATATTCCGTTAAGTTACCAAAAATTTTCTAAGTCAATTTTGAGTTCATTTTAGCTCCGTTTTTGGTGAACCAAGACTCTTTCCCAGCTATTTCAACCGTTCCAGACGCAACGGTGCACTCCGTTTTACAAAATTCAACCCCAAAATTTTTTTGATTGAGACATTTAGAGTCTAAAAACTCAATATGTCCACGGAGGAATTAACATCGGGAGTCATGATCAAACTCACTGCCTCTAATTATACACTTTGGAGACCTCGGATGGTAGATCTCCTAAGTTGTAAAGACTTGTACGATCCCTTGGAGGTAGAAGGTGTAAATCCAGATCCGACAAAAGAAACAAAGTGGAAGAAACTGAACAGAAAAACTATCGGTCAAATCAGGCAATGGATTGACCACAATGTATTCCACCATGTTGCACAAGAGACTGATGCACATGTCCTCTGGAAGAAGCTGGAAGACATGTACCAGGCCAAGACTGCTCGGAATAAAGCCCTTTTGATGAGGCGGTTCGTGAATCTGAAGTTAAAAAGTGGAACTTCAATTGCCGAGCACACTAGTGAGTTCCAAAGTCTGGTAAATCAATTATAATCGATAGAGTTGAATCTGGGAGATGAAGTATAAGCTCTCTTACTTCTCAGTTCTCTACCAAACAGCTAGGAGACGCTGGTAGTCTCTTTCAGCAATTCAGCTCCAGGAGGCAAACTTACCATGTCAATGGTTAAGGATGCCCTGTTCAATGAGGAGGCCAGGAGAAAGGATGTTGGCATTGACCAGTCAAATGCCCTCGTCACTTAGAGCAGAGGCAGACATCAAGGAGGTAACATAGGCAGGGGAAGGGCAAGAAGTAAGAGTAGAGGAAAGTCACAAGATCCAAGGAGATCAAATGACGGAGGAAGACCTACGTACAAGTGTTACCATTGTGGCTTGCAAGGTCACATGAAGAAAAACTGCCGCAAGTTGCTACGAGAGCAAAGCCAAGACAGTAATCAGCCGAAGAAAGAGGATGAAGAGACACTAGTCACTCTCGTAGAGGACGTAGCTATCCTTTCTGTAAATGAGGAGACATGCCTTCATTTTTTCAACCATGACGCTGAGTGGGTGGTAGATACTGCAGCTTCATACCATGCCACTTCTCATAGCGATTTCTTCTCGACGTACAAAGTCGGAGACTTTGGTACAGTGAGGATGGGAAACATCAGTTCTTCCAAGATCGTGGAAATTGGTGATATTCAGATAAAAACAAATGTTAGGTGTACATTGGTATTGAAGGATGTCCGACACGTGCCTGACCTTCGGCTAAATTTACTTTCTTGGATAGCCCTCGACAGACAGGGCTACGATAACCACTTCAGCAATGGCACATAGAAGCTCACGAAAGGTGCCTTGGTTGTCGCCCGAGGACATATTTGTGGCACGCTTTACAAGACCCATGTGAAGGTTTGCTCAAATAGCTTCAATGCAGTTGAAAATGAGGCTTCACCAAATCTATGGCACCAGAGACTTGGTCACATGGGGGAAAAAGGATTGTTTACCTTGGCAAAGAAGAATCTCATCACAGTTGCCAAGGATGTTGCACTAAATCCTTGTGATCATTGCTTGTTTGGTAAACAATATCGAATCTCGTTCAGTTCCTCTTCAGAGTTGTTAAGCCTGGTACACTCTGATGTTTGTGGTCCTCTAGAGGTGAAATCATTGGGCGGCAACAAATATTTTTTGACCTTTATTGATGATGCTTCACGGAAGGTTTGGGTGTACTTCCTAAAGACGAAGGACCAAGTACACGAATGCTTCAAAGATTCTATGTAATGGCAGAGCGAGAAACAGGAACGAAACTAAAGTGTCTCTGAACAGACAATGAAGGCAAATATACTTCCAGAGAGTTTGAAGCATATTGTGAAAATTATGGTATCAGACATGAGAAGACTGTTCCACGTATCCCACAGCACAATGGAGTAGCGGAGAGGATGAATCGAACCATTGTGGAAAGAGCTTGATGCATGCTCAGTATGGCAAAGTTGCCAAAGCCATTATGGGGTGAAGCTGTTCGTACCGCCTGTTAGCTGATAAACAGATCACCGTCAGTACCATTGAATTTTGATATTCCGGAGAAGGTGTGGTCTGGTAGGAATCCTACCTATTCTCACTTAAGAATTTTTGGGTGCAAAGCATTTGCACATGTATCCAAGGAGCAAAGGCAGAAACTTGACGTCAAGACCACTCCGTGCATCTTTATAGGCTACAAAGATGAAGAATTTGGATACAACTTGTGGGACTCAAAGGCCAAAAAGATCATCAGGAGCAGAGACGTGGTGTTCCATGAAAACCAGGCATATGAGGATTTTGAAAATTCCACAAAATTCAGCAGTTCTAATTCCAGTGCACAGAAAATTGTTTCAAACCCTGCACCATTACAGTTCGCCACAGATAATGACAAAGTGCAGGATGAAACTACAGAAGTAGAGCAAGATGATGATGAAGGTGTTGAGCAGGGGGAGCAACAACCCCCTCCACCAGATGTTGTAGGTCCATCACAGCAGCCAGAGGATGGTGTACCTCATATAGCTGATGAGCCTCAATCACGAAGATTCGAAAGAGGATGCATTCTGTCAAGTAAATATCCGGAGTCAGACTATATTCTGCTTACTGATGAGGGGGAGCCGGAGAACTTCTAGGAGGCACAAGCTCATACGGATAAAGACAAGTGGATGCAAGCCATGCAGGATGAGATGGATTCCCTACAGACAAATCAAACCTATGAGCTTGTGAAACTTCCAAAAGGCAAGAAAGCACTGAGGAATAAATGGGTGTTTAAGCTGAAGAAAGATGGCAGTGGAAAATTGGTGAAGTATAAAGCTCGATTGGTCGTTAAAGGATTCCAACAGAAGAAAGGTATTTACTTTGACAATATTTTCTCACCAGTTGTTAAGATTACCTCAATTCGAGTCATTCTCGGATTAGTAGCCAGTTTAAACTTAGAGCTTGAATAAATGGACGTGAAAACTGCATTTTTTCATGGAGAACTGAATGAAGAAATCTATATGGAACAACTGGAAGGTTTCGAAGTTCCAAGAAAGGAAAATCTAGTCTGCAAGTTGAAGAAGAGTCTATACGGCCTCAAACAAGCGCCCCGATAGTGGTATAAGAAATTTGACTCATTCATGGTGGGTCAAGGCTACAAGAGGACTGCTGCAGATCAGTGTGTTTACATTCAGAGATTCTCGAATGGCAATTTCGTTGCACTCCTACTTTATGTTGACGACATGTTGATCGTCGAAAAAGATGTAATAAAGATTAGCCAGTTGAAGAAGGAACTGTCCAAGTCCTTTGACATGAAGGACTTAGGCCCAGCTCAGCAGATATTAGGCATCCAGATTGTTCGTGATAGGAAAACCAAGAAATTGTGGCTGTCACAGGAGAAATACGTTGAACGGGTGATCCAGAGGTTCAACATGGATACTGCCAAGCCAGTCAGCATCCCAGTAGCTAATCATTTCAAGCTGAGCAAGAATTTATGTCCCTCATCAAAGAAGGAGATAGAAGATATGACACTGATTTCTTACTCTTCAGTAGTTGGGAGTCTAATGTATGCAATGGTGTGTACAAGGCCAGATATTGCCCATGTAGTGGGTATGGTGAGCAGATTCCTTTCCAACCCAGGGAAAGAACACTGGGAGGCGGTCAAGTGGATTCTCA